CTGATAAAATCAGGGGGCTGATCATCGTTATCTTTTCACAACCCATCCTTCCTCCAGAAGATATATTCCGTTAATGGGCCATTAAGTCCTATTGTGTGACTGATAAGATTACATCATCCCATTGGGAGATGCCCCAGCCAGGGGCAGGAGACACGCCTTTCCTACCTAAATAAAAAACTGGGGTTTAGAAGGCCAAGGCAGTCCTTTCCACTGGATCCCAGAGGGAAGTTGGACCTTTTATTCCACATCATCGCTGAATCTTCGGAGGAAAACTGCACCTTCTACAGGAGCACTGCTTCAACTGAACCACATCTGTCATCCAGGAGGACTGCAGCCACCATTTAAAAGGACTGCTACCAACACCCTGACTGACAGGGTGTCAGGTTGTATTTCTGACTTTGTCGGTGTTTTTTCTTTTGTATTATTGCATGTATTTTATTTTTTCTCTTTTCTCCTATTAAATGGTATTACTGACTTGGAGTCTCTCACTGGTTTTACTTTCAAACCAACACAAATGTGTAAGACATGAAACAATCTAGGAAACAGCACCTATGAGTCCATTCTTTCTGTGTCTCAGGAGAGACACAGTGTTCTGAGAGACTTTATGCTTTGACAGAATAGAATAGTTATCAGTAAAGACTTCAGCCTGAGACACTCTAAAAATGTAAATGTAACACATGCAAGGATTATCCTTTGTTATCTAAGAATGTCTTCAGATAGATGTCTTGAATGTGAGAGCTATATAGAACTAAGAATGGTAGTTGGTTTTGTCACTTCATTAGGCTGAAAAATTACTTTATTCTGATGCTCCTGTAGTGTATTATCTTCTCAGGAAGACTGTCCTCACTTAAACTTTGAACTTAGAAGGCCGCAGGTGGACACCCTCTTATTGATCCAGCTGTACCAAAAACAAGAGCTTACTGCCCCTAATTTTTTTTTACCACCATCAGAAGTTCCTCACCATCACCTTGTTGCCTCAAGCAATATTCTGTTGAAGTGACAGTTCAGACACTGTAATTAGTTTCAGGTATAAATGAAATCAACGTGAGCCTTGTTCTGGCTGAAGGATGATGTCAGGGTGCGCTCCTACAAACCAGAGCCAGCAGAAAGGAGCACTTCTATTAATCATGCAGTAACAAGCACCAAAGACTATTACCTCTCATCACACAGACTTAGGCAGAGTACCTCTGCCAAAGGCTAGGAATGGGCACTGTGATCTGCACCAAGGAGAAAGGCCTCTCCAGCCTTCCAGCTTTAATTGTCCACTGCCGACTCCTAACTTTCATTCAGCCTTGTATGTTGCAGCCTTAAGAGGAGATTCAGCCTTTTGCAGACAAATTTTAACAAATTTTAAGTGGCTGCCTACAGTGCTCTGCAGGTGGCAGAAGAAAACCCTGCAAACTTCTTAATTATTGAGAACAGGACCAATAGAGCAGTAACTGAAGTGCAACAGTTTTCTGCAGGGATTCTGGCAACAACTGTCTTCATTCCATGTTCTAGTTAGATGTCTTAACTGGTGCTCATTCCTAACTCTGCTTTAAAACCTTGCTTAGATCTGCCTATTGCCATATGTTGATCAATACAGCTTTTTAAAACTTCTCAGTGATAGCTGCAATTCTAACCCAATAGTCAGTGAGCAGAGACTAAGATAAGACAAGCAGTTCTGCAAGACTTTTGTTGGGAAAAACAGAGACTGAAGAATAATTTATTGTAGGTAGTCACAAGTAGTAAAAACAAGTAACAGGAAATTCTGCTTTTATCATAATATGTACAAAAAAGAAAGGTTTTCCACAAGAAAAACCCTTACTTTCTCAGTTGCTTACTCAAACTACTTGATGTACAGCAGAATGCGTTTTGATTTAGGCTTTCAGCTGCACTCAGTCCTAATTTTGAAACTCCAAGTTAATTTTCTTCTGTTGTAATGAATTCTTGAATAGACATTAGTTGAAGGTGCTTGACACTTCTGTGTTCTTGTACATTTTTTCTTGTACCTAAACAGTTATTGAACCTGATGATACATTTTTAAACTGTCTCCTAATTTATGACGCGTTATACTGATAAAAGAACTTGTAAAGCTTAATTGTTTATTGCTCAAAATCCTTATTATTAAATAGACTCTCCATTTTTGTTAGAACGCTTTCTGTCTTTCTGAGTTAATTTCATTCAAAGAAAACTTCAACTATTTTATATCAGCTAGGATTCCTAACAGTCCAGAAGCTCAGTTTTGTGCATTTTACAAGGGGTCAGTTGGACCCCCATGAGACAAGATAATCTGTCAGAAGATCATACAGCAATCTGTCAGAGCTAAGAAAGAATCTAAGCCTCCTGGTTTATCAGATGGGGGTTTAGAATTTTCTCACTCGCTGCAGCTGTTGGACTTTTCACCCTCTCCTATGCTGCAGGGCATGTCTGCTTCTTAATGCCATCTAGATATATAATGATCTTGTCTTTGACAGAGGTTTAAGATATCACTGATCCTTTTGATCTCTCCTCCCTTCTTGGGACATAACATTTGGCTTCTGGTCTTCCACAACAAATCAGAAATTTTATATAGGGTGCTAGAAGGAACACTTGCTGGGCTTTGCAGGCCCCTACAGGCACTGTGCATGAAATTCAGGCATTTCCTCAATTTGGCATCTGCTGCACGTCTTTCTATGACTTCAGGGAATACCATGGTTAAGGTGTTCCTCCAGTTTAATGTTTCTGCAAGTTTTACTCCCATAATCCCTAGACAAAGCTCCTAGTCCAAGATCTTAATTCATGTAGGCATTTTGCTAAGTCCAGTCCCTCACACATATATACACACCCCCTTAGTACATTCTTAATTCCCACTAGTTTCCATGTGATTTGAGTGTGCATTACAGGAAAACCATTAATTTCAGTCTGTCCTGAACTGGCTGGAAAAGAATATAAAATTTTATAAAATTAATCTCCTTTTTTACATTATGCATAGCTTTTTACATCATGTTTTGGCCATGAAACGAGCCAGTGCAGCTCACAAAATGTACAATGAGTTAGTAAGGGTACAAAATATAAGATTAAGATGCTATGCTTGAAAGTGCATGCTCTTCCTTCTCACACATTTTCAATTCTGGATTTGGATTTCTTTCCAAATGATCAGGCATTGCCATCTACTATGGTTGTTCTAAGACTTTGATGCATATGGCCTGTTTACCTCACTTTTATTAGTATACCTTACTTCTCTGCTGTAAAGACTACATTATCATCAGTATTTTGAAAGACCTGCTCAGCAATAATCACTATTCCAAATTACATTCACTCTTTCATTTCTTATTGTGAAATGCACACAATCAAATGCAGACTTTTAAGACACTATTTTTGAGATGGTCTATAATCCAAACTCTTCTCAGATGAATCCTTCTTGACCTTTTAATTTCAAGTCTCTTCTGGCATTTTTATAAGAAATAAGCTGCATCTGTGTGGGAAGGAGAATTTTCTAACCATCATCCAAAGCAGTGAAGTTGTGCAATAGGCAGCCTGTGTTTCCAAATGAATAAACATTTTTCATTCTTCTTTGCCCTTTGTAGTTAATTTCTACTACTGTCTTACTTCTCTTTGGTTCTATGTTTATCATACTTTCATTACCATATTCTGTTTTAAGTTAAAGTATTCGTACAAAGATTTTCCTTAAATTTTAGCAATTCAGTGCAAAGATACAGTTACTGATATAATCTAGAAAACAGACTGCAGTTAAAACTGATAACAGTTTATTTTTAATATTGACCACTATAGATATCATGTTGCTGGTCTTCCTGAAGTTTGACTGCACCACTTCACTGTGCATTCACACAGATGCACTAAGCTAGAAAGGCAAGAGAAGCTCAGTCTTCATCTTGAAAGCATTTACGAGGTGCACTTCTTTCCTAAAATTATAAATCACTATAGCCAAAGCAAAGTGTCCATGATGCCTAACAGGAATAAGTGTTTTGACCTGCAATTTTGCAACAGATTACTGGTAATATTGACAAGTGTTATTTGCACTATACGTAGGGTTTTAATGGGTAGAGTTTCAATAAATAAAAAGAGTTTAAAAGAAAGAGAGAAAAACTTTTTACCAGGGCTCATAGTGACATGAAAGCAGGCAGTGCTCATTATGAGTGTGGTAAGACAGAGAAGTCATGAATGTCCCATTCTTGGAAGTGACTCATGGCTTTGAGCAACCTGGTCTAGTAGAAAGTATTGCTGCCTGCAGCAGCAGGGGTTGGAACTCAATGATGTTGAAGGTGTCTTCCTACCCCCTATCCATTCTGTGATTGCTGCTACTGTGGGTCATCAGGCTAGACTTATAGTTCAGCAAGTGTATAAGCAATTAAATTAGATTAAGAATTTGGCAGTAGGCTGACTGCAAGCCTATTTCAGAAAGCCTTCTAAGACAAGTAGTTACATTTCAGTTGGAAACAAGCAGTGGTTCATTTCATTCATTTTAGGTCAGGGTCAGAGCAAGGTTTAGTGTTCATAAGGGTAAGAAACTGATGAAGAAAAAACTCACTCAGACCCAAAGAAGGCTGCAGGCTCGTGCAGTGCATTACAAGCTGTACTATTCTGGACATTTTTCTTTTTTGGGTAGGTGAAGGTCACTGTGCTTTTGGCTACAGTTAGGGTCATGGTGTTTGTCTACAAGCTGGTAGAAGCTTTACAGAAACTGTAGTACCTAGCCTTAAGAAAGACTCGTGGACCGTCTTTCTATCTTGCTATGGAACGTGAGACACTGATCTACCCAAGCTTCCCCCATTATAATAAAATTCCCATAACCTGACTGTGCTGTTCATCTATCCGTCCACAACCTGGTTACCCATTATCGCACAGCGGCGCCCACAGTGCCCAGAGGGCTGCGGCCAGGGTCAGCCCAGGGGCAGGCCATGGCACCGGCGACTCCGAGCCTCCCGGGCGGCGGAAGCAGCCCATCCCGGCGGGCGGAGTCTGCTCCCGCCACCGCCTCCCGGCACCCCCCGCCAGGCCTTCTGCCCACGCCAGGCGGGATGCGGGGCGCTCGCAGGCGGCTCTGCTCCGCCCTGATCGTCGCGTACGGCCTCTTCTCCCTCTACGCGGCCTACACTGTATTCCTGTGGCCGCGCCGCCCGGCCGCCCCTCGCCCGCACCGGGACCACCGCGGCCCGCGAGGTGAGCGCGGCGGCGGGGCCTCTCCGAGCCGCCCTGCCCGGCCTGTCTGCGGCCGGCGGGGCAGCAGCGGGGCAGAGGCGGCGGGTTTGGTGCGGAGCCGGCCCGGCGGGCGGGGCCTGGTGGCGCTTCTGAGGGAGAGCGGGGCCGGCGCCTCACAGAGCCCCGCTGAGCCTCGGGTGGTACCGCGCGGGCCGGCAGGGGAGGAGAACGCGGCGGCGGCGGCGATGGTGGTGGCGGCGATGGTGGTGGTGGCGGTGGCGATGGCGGTGTGCACGACCCAGGGCTGAAGGATGGTTGTCAGGTGCTGCGTGAAATTACGAATCTGAGAAAATTCATCCGTTTTCCTAAAGCCGAGAATCTGATCTTTCTTTTTTTTTAAAAAATGTAAATCACGCTGTTAGGTTTCACAGATCATGTTGCCTTGGGAAATGAAGAGTGGAATCCATGGGATGCGGATGAGAAAAACGAGCTGGCTGTTTATCAGCAGAGATATGAAGCTAATCTTAAAATGATAAAATATGCGAGGTCTCACCTAGAACAGACCAGTCTTAGAGTACAGATTTGGGGCAAAGCAGCAATTGGTAAGCAGATATAGTCAATGTCTATTGCTTATTTAACCTTTCTGGTTTAGCACTTTTCTCTGTTTCCTGATGACTAAAATTTATGTATATGATTCAATAGTACGCATATCTGTACATGAGGAGTATTAAGGAAATGCTAGCTGTTACTCAAATTCATAGCAATATAAGAGTCGTTGAACTCCAGTTTCTTTGTATCATTTCCTTTCAAGGCTCTTTTTCTGCATTTTCAAGGAAAATGTCTCAAATGGCAAAGAAACACAGTTACTTTTTAAATCCAGTCTAGTTTACACAAGAAGAGGCCTCTTACTTGCCTAACCAGATTATTTACGTTACATTTAAACTTAGTGAAATAAAACATCACACAGTGAGAAATAAAACATTTTCTGTATTGCAGTGTACTGTAGTACTACTGCCATTGATGAACTTGGAAATTCTTCTGTTGTGGAAGATACTGAGTTTCCCCTCTACACAAACTGGGAGCCAAGGTCTTCTCAAGCTCTTTACTGCTGAAGACATATCACTGTTCTTACTTTAGCTTTTCTGTAAGTGGGGACTTACAGTCGAACTTTCAAGTAGCATTATAGAACACATGGTTATATTACCTGGTATATTACCATAATAAAAATTGGTGCATTTCACAAAAGCTTAAGAGAAATATGTTTGTCCAGTTAATATTGCTCGTTTTTGTGGTGTGTGTGCTGGAAAGAGTTGCTTACAGAAACAGTAATATATATTTTCATTTGCTGATATTTTGTCAGGCGGAGAATCTTTTTAAATGCCAATTGGGAAAAATTCAACTTAACTAATTCCAAGTCATGTTATGCAAGAAGCTCTGACATTTCTTTCCCAAGTTCTTATATTGTGATTCTGTTTCATTTTCCAGAATTATTTTTTTTTAAATGTAGAATAGGCAAGATCTGTACATTCACATTCTCCATCACGTCTTCATTTATGTAGGTCTTTACCTTTGGCAGCATATTTTTGAAGGGCATCTTGAGCCAGCTGATGTGACTTCACAGTGGAGAGAAGGAAGCCAAAAAGCAGGAAAAACATACTTCAGGTATTGTTCACAATGTTGGTTTCAGTTGTATAAACTTTATCAAATAATGCATTGGAAAGTTAAACTAAATTATGCACTGCTCCAGTATTATTTGCCCATCTCAAAGTTGTGGTTATTTTAATACAGTTGCAAATACTTAAATTTTGTAATGTTTTCAAAACTATGGAATATGCACACAGCCTCTCAGTCAAAATTGTCATTTATAGACAGAAACACATACTTGATAAATCGAACCAATTCTAGACCAAACATGTCACTGTTAGAAAATAGAAAACTAGGGAGTAATTTCATCTGGTTTATGATGGTTTGTGTTATTAAAAAAAGTATGGAAAAACTTACCAATGCTGAGAGGAAGAGCAGCCAGGAGACCTCAGTGGCAGGGTCAGGATACAACCTCAAGAACAGTGTTAAGAACTGGGACTTATGGGCTCATAGTTGATGAAATCAAGCATGCATATGTGAGGCGGAAAGATGTCTGCTGCTGTTTGGTTTCTGCTGTATGCAGGGAAAAGGGACTTGGCTCATTTGTTCGTAAATAGGAATGTCTCAAACCCATAATTTGTTTCTGTTTATAACAAAGGCTATCTGTGAGACCTAGCTTCTGCTTAGCCACTTGATTTGCAAAACAAAATTTTGTATGGAAAGGAGATTCCGCTTAAAGCTCTGCTTGCTTTAACAGTGGTGTTTGAGCTGTGATCATGTATGTTATAAGACTGTTATCAAATGTTCTATGTTATTCAGTGAATGATATAGAGCTTTTCTCTGAGTCCCTATTTAATACAATTTTAGTGCTTTCTGCAAAGATATAGTGAAAGCTGAAGGATTTTTTTCTGTTTGGCCAGATCACCAGTCTACAGAAGTAGGTCTCCTGCAACATTTAGTCACTTGCACTGGGACCTGCCTGTTAAAAAAGTTTTCTTTTAATACATACATTACACAGTTAAGTGAGTTTAACTTCTGAAACGTGTTGCTTCAAAAGACTATTTTTTCCTTACACAAGATGTGGTTCTAGTTGAAATATTTGAAGGTAGTGTTTAAAGTACACATGACTGTGAATTGAAAGGAAATTTTAAGTGATCACAAAACTTTTTAAAATCACTTTGAACTGTTTATCAAAGTATCTAACCGTGAACATGGTACAGGCCACAGAATCTTTTCAGAAGAAATAGATAATTTTATATACTCTTTAACAGAAAAAGCTATCTTCTTTGTCTGCAAATAAAAGATGATCCTGCAGGTTTAGAGAATTAACTATGAATAATGCTACTGTGTCTTGGTAGTCTCCTTGACAGAGCAATAGAGCTTTCAAATCACAAATATAGAGAAAGGATACAGTCCTTTCTTTGAATATTGGACCAGTGCCTACAGTGCAGTCTTAGTGGCAAAAGACTTTGTTGTTGCCAGAGTTAAAATCTTGGAAGCTATAGAAATGCATGATACTCTACCATGATAGGTTGTCTTCCTGGTATTGACGTGAGAATTTCTTCAAGCTCTTGCTTTCCACATTGATAACATGAAAATAATTTGCTGTACTTAATGAGTCTGTCGCTACAATTATTATGGTTATTTTCTTTCTAGTGTGCATGTTTCAGATGATTAATAACCTCATGTTTCCTTAGGGTATGCATCTCTCTAAGAAAGACTTCTGTACTTGCATTTAAATATCTTCTTGTTATGTTTAGATGAGCCAGGGATAATGAGTCCCTATTTTAATTTCGACTTGGATGCTAGATCCTATAAAAATACGAAGCTTAAGTTTAATACGAACATAACAAACGTTAACTTTTGACAGGCTAGTAGAAACTTGTTGTGCAAAGTATAGAAAATGTGCAATATAACTGTTACTTTAACAGCTAGGCTTCTGAATTAGCTACTTTTTACTCTTTTTGGAAATGCTAGTTTATGTTGTGGAGAAGAATTAAGTGATTTTTGCTTCTCACCGATTATAAGATTTTCTAGAATTGTTTACTGACTGGCTGAGGTAAATTATCTCCAGTTGATTACTAGATGAGGCTAGAGGGAACTAGCTGAGGTGATACATTTGGAGAATATGTGCTGCTCTGCAGTTTTCTATGGTAAGTCTAATGATTGTTTAAAAATGGACCTCTGGTGAATATTTTTAAAGAATACCGCATCCAAAGACACAAAAATGCCAAAATACCACTTGAACACAGTTGCATGAATAAGCTTATTCCATACATTTATGATGGAGAATACACATCTCTAATACAGATTTTGATGGGTACATGTTTTCACCAAAGAACTTGACCAAAAATACATGAAGTATTGGCTTCTCCATAAAATGCAGTGATGTGTATTTAAAAACAGGAGTGGAGAATAAACTTCATAGATGTGGATTTTAGTACCACCTTGGCACAATCATACAAAAAGCAAGAGAGCAGGATTTAACACTTTCTCTGGCTTGAAGCAATTCACACCCTTCTCTCCTTTCACCTAGGAAGATGTTGCAGAGCAGAGTGCCAAACTTCTTACCTCTTATTTGGTAAGAGCTTTCCTAAATTTCTATTCCCCCCAGGTCATACTCTATTTTACAAACATTCACTACTGCCTTGCTTCAGTCAATGAGGAGAGGTTCCTATCTATCAAAGGATTCCACCTGGGATAGGTTCTGGCAATTTAGTTTTAATAAAGCCCTGTAGTTAAGCTTTTTGAAATCCAGATACATTACACTGGATCCTCCTTATCTATATTCTTATTGACATGCTTATAGATGTTGATCAGATTAGTGAAACAGGATAACTCATTCACAGCAGTGCTTATCCATATATGTGATCAATGATCTTACCTATTGATAAGATACAGTGATCTTACTGTTTATTACAAACTTTTCCAGAGAGGGAATGCTGACTGTTCTCCAGAGTCCTCTCAAGTTGTTTTTGTAGATGGGAGTCTACAAAACATGGTGAGCCACTTACCAAGCATAGTATCTCTTCATAATGACAACTGCACTCCGCCAGCAGTTCTGCAATTCTGTGTTTGTATTCCTTCAAAACTCTCAAGTGAATGCCATCCAGGTTCAAATCCTCCATTTGGTATAATACTTACGGTGTTCAACCTTGTATTTCTTGCTGAAGTGGCTAAGTTATGTATGGGAATCTTCCTTACTTTTCTGTTAAGCCATACGGGGTGTTGGGGGAGTCTGTGTTGTTTACTATTTGGATTGAAGCACCCAACATGCCTAGGCTTCTTATACAGTGTTTTTGAACAGTCTACGAACTCCTTGAAGGCTCCTTGTGATTTGGACTGCTTCTTTCCAAGTTCTTTTCTTGATTTTCTCATATATGTGTAATTCCTTTATTGCATGTGGAATATGCTGGATGTATTTACTATGATCTCTCTTGCTGCAAGTGTTAAATTTAATCATTGCTGTTAGAGAATGGCCATCTAACACCTTCAGAATGGACACTATAAGACCCAGTCTAAAATAGCATCTTTTTGTATGACTATCTATGACTAGTAAGGAAAAACAAGGACTTTATAGAAAGCAAGTCAGGTATTTAGTCCAGAAAATCAAGTCTTCCCGTATTATCTTTGATCTAACCTTCATGTGAGTAGTTAGGATTGTTAGGACTACTCCCTTAATTTTGCAGCTTCTGTAGTCTCTTCAGTTTCCCAATCCCAGTTGTGTTCTGATTGACAGTTAATACCACAACCCTAGCAGGTGTTTTGACTATTGAAGTATGAGACTTGCACTGTGTTACTTTTTTTCCCCCCACTGTAATCTTATGCTGTTCAACTTCATATATTCCTACACACAGATTATTGTTTCCTAACTTGTACATCTTGTTATTCCTGTAAAGCTGTTACCTTCCAAGTACTGTGTCAGAAAAACCCTTTTTCCCCAAGCCTCTTTGCAAGGTGATCACTGGACCACGTACATATTTAGTCCCTATTTTAGGCATTCCAAAACTCAAGGTATTCTCTCTTAGGAATCCCAGTGATTCTGTTCTCATTAAACTTTGAATTTAAGTCTTGACCTGACTTAACATTTAATGTATTAGAAGTCTTGATTCCAAGTCATGAGTCTTACCAAACTTGGCTTCAAAATACACAACTCCTACCAAGCCAGCAACATGGCTTAACTCAGGTTTAAAATACACTTGTCTAAGGTCAGTCTGCATCAGATAACTTCACTGGAGTAGTTTGTACAGCTTTTGTTGTGAGGGTTTTTTTTTCCTTAGTAAGTGTATTTGAACTGAAACTAGCTGTCAGTCTCAGCACCTCATGAAGTAAAACTCATGCTCACTCTAAATTAAGTTTTACTGGTAGCTGAAAAACAAGTTATGCACCAGACCTAGGAAACTTGTATTTAACTGACTCCTGGGGAAAAAAATACTTCTTTCCCCTTCACTTTTTCCCAAGTAGTATAATTGCTACTTCTTTGCATTCGGTCAATAATCTGGTAACTGAAGGTAACTGAAGGGCAGGAGCTGGCAAATACTGATTTGTTTCATTGCAGTTCATAAATGGCTTTTGTTAGATATTTGCAAATGATTAAAGATTTAATGATTTTGCTACATGGCTGAAACTCTTCTGTTAAATACAATGTGGAAGATCTATAAATGCCATTTTATAACTAAAATGTTTGTACTTACTACCTTATATCAGAGCCTCAAGTTTGACCTGGTTCATACAACCAACCTAAGTTTACATTTAGATAGATGTTTCTTGTGTTATCAATTCTACTCAGTAGAAACTTAACCAAAATACTGAGAAAAGTAGTATGCAAGACTAGCTGTCATTCTTAATGATACTGGATTTAGTATAGTCTTCAAGTTCTTGGAAGGGCCTATCTTAATACAGCATTCATTGGTTATTACTGGAATTAAGAAAATGTTTAACCTTTAGTGAACATCAGGGTGCACCCTTTTGCGAAAGGTGGTCAATTTACACACATTTTGAGGTTTGAGTATGGTACTAGTTCTGATTTATTGACAAAACACCTTATCACTTTTTTTCCTGAATAAAAATGAAAGTAGCTTTACTCCTGTGCTAAGCCATAGATACTAACAATAGAAGTGGTAATAGTTGCACAGTAATTTTGCAGTATATTTCAGTTACTTATTGAAGAGAAAATCATCTCTGGAGTGCACACTGTGTAGTAAGACTAGCTTGAGGATTGAGGTCAATAATTTTTCTAACAAAGTCTTACTTTGTTTAGTGTTGCATTTTGTATTTCTCAGCTTCCTCACTGGCCCATCTGTAGTTCCTGGCTACTTCTCGGTGGAAGGGGAGCACGTGGTGCTGGTGCTGAACGGGAGGGAGCCGGCGAAGATCGTCTATGCCACGCAGTGGCTGCACTATGCACGGACACTGATGGAGACCCGCAAAATCCAGCATGTGGCAGTGGTGCTGCTCGGCAACGAGCAGTGCAACAACACCTGGATTCAGCCATACCTGAAACGAAACGGGGGATTTGTAAATCTGCTCTTTGTTACATATGACTGTGCATTCGTAAATGAAGAAGATATTTTCCAGTGGCCTTTAGGAGTAGCTACGTAAGTGCTATAGAAGAAGTTGCAATTGGTTAATTAATTGTTGTGCACGAGGTATGGAAAATATGACAGAGTGTCACTGCTGATGCCCAAAACAAATGTAATAAGTAAATTGCAGAACATGATCCTATTGGTCATTTTCTAAATCAGGCATTGGAGTCTTTGAAAGTTGCATTTAGTAATAAAAAAAGATATCAGGGAAAGAATACTAGCATTTAGGAAATTTGAGGAAAATGAACATGTTTCTCCTGAGGTTTTCTGTTTCTTCTTTCTTCAGTAGATTTGCTCTTGAGATTTACCATAAATGCTGATATAATATGTACCAGTGATGCAGAGTTTAAAAAGGTATTTATGTAATAAAGTTGCAGGTACTATTTGTTCAGGAAAGGAAAGAGTACTTTTTTAAATCTCTATTATGGCTCAAAAGGCTTTCCATTTGGAGTTATACTCCAATATCACAGTAGTGTAAGATGGCTTAACTGCTGGTTTAAAAAAAAAATTGTTATACTTAAGTGCTTAAACTATTTCTGTGGAGTAAATAAAGGTCTGGTTCACCTAGATGCATTTTTACTTCTTACTAACAGAGTTGGTAGTGGTTTAGCTACGTACTAGGGTAATAGAAGCTGAAAGGAATACATGATTATTTCCATACCTTATGTTGAATTTGAATTCAATATCCTGTATTGATCCAGTTTGCTCAACAAGCTGGAAAACTTTTTATGTACAGCCTGAACTTGTTCACAGTGTCTGTGAAATATGCTAGATTTGGATTATTGATGGTGTCAGAGAATTCATGGCATTGGAAGTTCCTAAGTCAAAAGAAGTTCAGTTGCAGAGATTAAGGTGACAGTTAAGAGAAAGCAACAACACTTACAGCAATAAACTAGGGTGCAAACCTCGGTGGAGGAAGATAAATTTAGTATCAAAATGGGGTTTCCAGCCCTTCCATACAACAGCTGTAAAAAATGAGATTAAAGGCATGAAAATTTGCAGGATTTTCTGAGTGAAGAGAGACAACGAAGATGTGGAATGATGCAAAAATATTTGTCATGAAGGGACAAATGCTTATTATAAACCAAGTGAATTAACATTTATCATGCAGGAGAAGAATGAGGAAAGAACTGCTCCATCAAATAATGTACAACAAGCTATATAGTAAGCAAAAGATTAGATTATTGAGTTCACTCAGATCAAAGTGAGATTTTGCTTTGAGAGGTTACCAGTGGTATTTTCAGAAGATGAGCATATCCAGAGATTAAAGTAGGTAAGACTTATGTGCCATAGTTACCGTTAAACTGGCCATTTCAGTCAAAACTTGTGGTTGTATTAAGAACAAGTTCTTTGGAAAAGCATGTTAGTAAAGGACGTTCTATAATATGCACATATATTTCTGATGTTGAAAAAAGATATAAGTATTCTGGAAACTTTGTGAAGGGACTGATGGAGGGCAAAGGGAATAAAGACATAGTTTTAAGACAGGACTTGAATTGGTTTACTTGTGGGTCGGTCTGTATAGATGTGGATTGGCAACAAGTAGGTGGTTTTATTCTTAAAATATGATGCACTGAAAATGAAATGCTGAAAAAGGTTTTCCTTTGATACAGTTGTCTAAGTTACACATTGTTTTTACAGCTACAGAAGTTTTCCAGTTGTGGAACCCAGCTGGTCAATGCTACATGATCCAAGATCATATCTATGTAATTTCCTAGGAACAGTTTATAAGAATTCTTCTAGAGAAACTCTAATCAAAATTCTGAAACAGGATGGGTTTGACAAACTTTGCTGGATTGCAGCCAGAGAGCAGTAAGACTTTAATTTACTTCATGAAAACATTCAGAGTTTTTTGTCTTGTTCATGATTACCAATTTTTTCTTGAGTGTTAAAATATAGTACAAATAAAGCTTATCAATAGTCATTAAGTTGGAATATTGCAGAGACTTTTTGTTTAGGTCATCATAACATAACTGCTTTTCTGTTATATTTTAAATTAGGCATATTTTTTAATTTAGTATAGAAAAGTCTGCTCTATATATATAACCATCAAAGACAATCTGTTTTTTTTCTTACAAATATTTGATTATGAGAAGAAACACTTGTCTTGTATTTTGTAGAGTTTAATGTCTTTAGTAGAAGAGAGAAGACAGCCATATTTTGTTTTGTTCCACATGAGAGTGGATTTAATCTGTACAGCACAGTTGTTCTTGACTAACAAGAGTAACAAGGGTTCTGATTGTATTTCTTAACTTTGAAAAGCAACACTTGTAAAATGTTGGATAGCAGGCACAGTGGCACTTAGGTAGACCTTAGCTGCCGTGATGAAGTCTCAGGAGACAGATTGTATGTGTGACAGAAACTCTTATCTCTCAGACATAATGAGGCACTTCAAGTAGATGAATTCCAGTTAAACGAATTGCTCTGCGTCCTAACTTTGGAAGTGCAAACCTCTTTTGAGGCCAAAAAAAGTCATTAAAAAGTCCATTAAGTGTCTCCCTTTTTGTCAGTTTCTAAACTGTGGTGTGAAGTAAATTGACATACGCATCATCCAAGTCATGCAGAAGATTTGAAGTGGCATTTCAATTTGTTTCTTACACTTCTAAGTATTAATAATTTCCAAAAAAGGGCGCCTATTACAATCTATTTTTAACAGTGACATTTTCAATATATTTTTAGAAGACTTTTAAGAGCAGTTAAGACTGAAAGTAAAAGTCGATTGACTGTGTGTGTAATACAAAATTTTTACATCGATAGCATTTTCAATTTTATAAATAATAGAAATTAAAGCATATCTCTATATTTTCATTGCCTGTGACGAAAATATTAATTTTCACCCTGTTTACTTTCCTAGGTGGCAGCCTCAAGAAACAAATGAAAGTTTCAAAAACTATCAAGATGCCTTGCTGCAGAGTGATTTGACATTGTGCCCAGTGGGAATAAATACAGAATGTTACAGAATTTATGAAGCTTGTTCATATGGATCTCTGCCTGTTATAGAAGACGTTATGACACCGGGTGATTGCGGAAATTCATCAATGTACCACAGTGCTCCATTGCAATTATTAAAAACCATGGGGGCTCCATTTATCTTTATTAAGAACTGGAAAGAGCTTCCTGCTCTTCTAGAAAAAGAAAAAAAAATCAGCTTACAAGAAAAGATTCAAAGGAGAAAAAGGCTTTTAGAATGGTATCGAAACTTCAAAGCATGGATGAGACAAAAATTCATTAATACTTTGGAAAATTCATTTTTGCCCAGTGATAAAGGATAAATTGTCCCATTTGAAAATCTAGAACAGATGACAGCTTAATTTCCATTAGCCTGAGGCAGCTTTTACTTAAAAGTAACCTCATAGGACAGATGCATTCCTTTTAAAATCAACGGAATTGCTCTAAGCTTGGCCAAGAGCTACATTTGGCCCTCCATCCTTAATGATTTTCAGAGAGGTTGTTGACATAATAGGATGGTACAAGGATGACAACAATTTTGTTACTATTTTCACAATTTCTATGTTGCTGTGTGACCTAATAAAATGTTTTAAGGATAATATCTTTGAGCATGTGAATTTGGTAAAATCCAACATAAGAACATCAGTTGTGTTTGAAAAAAAGAGAATGGAGGCTGTATGGTACAGAGTAATTTATTAGGGAGACTAAAAAAGAAAAGTATTACGACAGAATTGCCAGGTTTAGCATATTCTGGTAAGTGCTTATTTTGAAAATAGTAACTTTTTACTTGGTTGACATTTCATTTTCAACAAAGATGACCATAAAGCTAAAGACTGTGGAATAAAAATGTGTATTTCAAGCTGAAAATAGAGAACTCTTTCTTGAAAATACTTGATAGCAATACCTTTAACTTCAGATACAAAAATTACTTTCGTTCATTTTTTAGTCTTGGGCCATACCTTTCTGCATTTCTGCTCCTTCATTACTTCTAGTTACAGCTGCACATTCAGAATACCAAGACTTAGACATGAACCTGCTTGTAGCTTATCAGATTCCTCAAAATCTGCTGAAACTCGTCAATGCCAAAAGATGGCAGAAGTGTAATGCTGTATGTTTATGGTAAAATGTGTACCATGAACAGCTTCAATGCTTTTTTGGCAAATGTAGCCAAAGGGCTCCATTCCTGTTCTTGAGTGTGTGCAGTTCCCTCCAGTATGGTCTGCTGAGCAGGAGGACTGCACACACCACTGCCATACCAAAGGGGTGTAGTAGCCACTTCTGTCTGACCGCACCATGACACGTGGGGTCATTCTCATGCAGGAATTAAAAGGCCAGTGCAACTGTACAGTTAAGTAGTACTCATTTGTATACTGATACTGTCTAGTTCTGGAGTATATGTCACACAAGAGCACTTCTGTAATCTGAATTGTCTAATATGAACTTCCGTGATTTATCACCCCCCTATTTCATCTGAAGTGTCCTGTAGTTGCAGTACGTACTCCATTCAACAGAGATTGGAAGTACAGTAGTGAGTTATTGTAGGGACATATTGAGAAAGCAAGAAAATTACAGCCTGAAAAATATTGTAGGCTGGAGCTTCTCAGCTCTGTTCCCAGCCAATAAACTGGTCCAACTCAAAGCTAGGGAGAATTTCTCCCAGGGTCATATCTTGGTCAAAATGGAATTAATAACTAAGATAGAACACCTGTTGTGGTGTGTGACCAGGCCCTGGGAATGGGGTGTCTTCTCTCTGAACCAATCATCTTTTTTCTACTCTTGGAATTGCGAGTCATGCTATAAAACCAAGTGTGTTTCTGAATAAACTTGTCTCTTTCGTTCTATCATGAAAGACGGCGATGTAGCTGTGCATCTTCTTTCTGCTGCACTTTAAAGGGTTAAAACCCCTTTCCACAGCTACATTTGGAGGCCTCCACCGAGCAACATTTGGAGTTTCACCGAGTGCTTGATCTCGGGGACCTCTGCCGACAATGGCACCGAAGAATTCAGGGCCCGAAGCCTGCCGAACAGGGACAGACCCAGCGAGGCTGTCGATAACCGGGGCTGCGCTCAGAGCTGAGCTTTGTCTAGCCGCAGCCGTGCCAGGAGTAGGCTGGAATACCCAGAAAAACAGGATTCTGGACCCTGGGGCTAGGACCGGACCCGTGACGACGGCCAGGACCAAGAGAGCCATCGGGGAAGATCATGGATCCCTTACCCAATTGCAGCGGGACGGGACATCCCTCGGAATTTGTCGGCTGTGCCTCCATCACAGAGGTAAGGGGAGCATTTTTGCCCCAGAGCATTTTTTAACTCGCTTTAGGCAGCGAAAACTCCAGGATTACACTTGGGAGGACTGGGGTTTTCTTTAAATATGGGAATCCATCATACTAAGCAGGACACCGTGTTCTCAACTCTGAGAGACATTTTAATTGATTTAGACTGCACCGGAACTTTTAGCTCTCCCAATCTCCCCATCTGCGTCCCGGGGAGAAATGGTTTTCCACCGTGGGAAGCGCGGGGCCCTCTACCTGCTGGGGCCCCACGGCCACCCGTGAGGGCTGTGCTAGCCCAAGCCCAACCTCTTGCTCTTAGCAAGATCGCAGAGTCTGGGCATGCAGAAAGGCAGGCTGATCCCTCTTTGCCTGCCGGCGTTGCAAGCGGCCGGGATGGCTGCGCGGTGGTCCCTGCCTCTCCGGGGGCCCCATGGAGACCAGTCGGAGGCAGTGATCTACTCGTTCGCCTCCAGCCTTTCCCAAACCAAGGGGGGAGCGGCAGCGGCGACCACTGCTCTCCTCCAGCCGCTCTTCAAGGGGCATCCATTCCCCCCCCCACGAGAGGAGGCAGCCGAGCCGCTTTCGCAGCGCCGGCTCCCCGCTCACGTGTCCCCCTCGCCCGCGGAGGCAGAGATTTTTTCAAGGGGTATGAGAGGAATGTTGAATTTGTCTTTACAAATGAGTTGTGGATCAGCCTGTAGATAAGGCTAGCACTGAGAGATAAAAGAAACAATGGGATGGATTCCACTGATTGATGAATGGAAAGAGATATTTGCCTTTACAAACAAACTGTAGGGCTGCTGATAAATGAAATTGGATATCGAAAGATGAAAGAAGCAACGGGGGGAAAACTATGAATTCTATAAGAATTTAAAAATTAAAAGGGAGGATTATACATTAGAGGGGAATTTCAGGTATCAGGCGTTCCGGGAAGTCTGTGCCTCTCAAGTACCTCAGCCAATGGGGAAAGAGAGAGGGAAATGCGGCCGGGAAAATATGATAAAAAGGAGGCTGCGTCCTCCAAAAATTTGAGAGATCCCAGGGGAATGTCCCATGGCCTCTCCCTTTAT